TTCCCCAGTGCTGGGCTGATTGTTTTCCTGTGCTGATGGAGCCAGCACAGAAAAAAATACACTTATTCTTTTCTTCCTTTTGTTTTCTTTTGTGTATTTCCAATATTTCTGGGCTCACTCTCTGGCTGTCCTCACATCTGATTATTTAGGACTAAGAGCAGAATTTTGGCTTGCCTCAGGTTGAGTTTTCGTAGCCTGTGGCACTGTGTGCTGAGGTGTTTGTGAGGAGCTGGGTGTTCCCAGAGCGTGTTACACACCCGGAGTGGAAGCTTGAACAGCTCTCAGCTCCTTCCATCCTGTTGCATTTCCATTCTAATTAATCCTCCCCACTCAGCTTCCAGCTGGGCTCGAGGAGAGGAGTTCTGGTAGCTCCACACCAGGCGATGCAGGGAGGTGTCTGAACCAAATATTAAGTTTCCCTCCTCTCCGTGTGCTGCTTTGGGCACAGCTGGATGCCTGTGGGAGGGGGAGGTTGGATGATTTTAGTTCTTTTGGAGCTCTGGGCTCCTTGGTGGCTCTTCCCCCAAGCCTGGGGGCACATCTCTCCACCCACATCATTTGGGGTGCCAGCTCTGCCTGCCAGAACCTCCACGGGGCTTGCTCAGCTCATGGGTCCTGTAGAAGACTAGTCAACTTCTTGGTGGGTTAACAAGGTGACCCCTGCAGGGTTTTTTTAGACTTTTAGATGTACAAAATAAGGAGGAAAGCGGAGTCAGGGCAGGGAGGTAACCAGAGGAAATTAAACACGTGGTTTAGGACACAGCTACCATCAAATTTTTGCAGCCACCTGTAGAACCAGCCCAAATAACTCTGAGTGTTTTAACAGCACCGTGTGTATTCAAAATAATTGACAGTGCTGTGTTTTAACACAGAAATTCAACAATATTTTGGGGATAGGTTGTATCCTTCCTTAAAACATTCCCTTCCTGTCTTGCAGGCTGAAGGTGGCCCGTCGTAAGGGTTAGTCCTCTGTCAGATATTTAGCAGCCAGTTGTTGAGAGAATTTCCTGCATTGTTCATGGTAAGGTTTGCATTTGCTATTTCACATTTAGCCTGCTGACACATTTAGAGTATTTCTCTAAATAATACATTTTCTCTCTGTTTGTTTAATATTAACATTTCCTCTAGCTGTAGGAATGACTTCTGCTGTGGGTGGGTCTTACCTGGGCTGGGCATTGCAGCTCCCCAGAGAAAGTTCTCAATTTTGAATAATCACCAGTTTTGTTTCAAATCTAGTTTTGAAAAACTGAAATCCATGAATAAATGAAGATATTGATACAAAAAAAACCCCCAAATTACCCTTTATGAATCACTGGGTGTCCTGGGAAAGTGTCCGTGAAAGGCCTTTATGTATTCATAATTTTAAAAGAAGTTTTCAGAGTAATTCTTTTGTCATCTGAAAGGCTCTTGGTGGTATTAAGCTAAACAAAAAATATTGGGCCATTCTTTTAGTGTTGAGACTGGATGACTTTAAAGTTCTCTTCCAGCCAAAATGATTCTCTAATTTTGATGATTGTGGGATTTTGGTGATTCCGCGAATCTGAGAATTTACGATTCTGCGATTTTATGACTTTTAACTCCATTATAAACATGACCAAAGCTTCCCTTGTGTCCTTTCCCAGGAGTTTTTCATCAGTATGTCTGAAACCATTAAATACAATGACGACGATCACAAAACTGTGTTCCTGAAAACCTTGAACGAGCAACGCCTGGAAGGGGAGTTCTGCGACATCGCCATCGTGGTGGAGGATGTTAAGTTCCGAGCACACAGGTGCGTGCTGGCTGCCTGCAGCACCTACTTCAAAAAGCTCTTCAAAAAACTGGAAGTGGACAGCTCGTCGGTGATAGAGATAGATTTTCTTCGTTCTGATATCTTCGAGGAGGTTCTCAACTACATGTACACGGCGAAGATTTCTGTTAAGAAAGAGGATGTGAATTTGATGATGTCTTTGGCATTCGGTTCCTGGATAAACTCTGCTCTCAAAAAAGGGACGTGTCGAGCCCTGAAGACAACACCCAGTCCAAAAGCAAGTACTGTCTGAAAATCAACCGCCCCATGGGGGAGCCCAACGACACCCAGGACGACGAGGTGGAAGAGATTGGAGATCACGACGACAGCCCGTCGGACGTGACGGTGGAAGGGACTCCCCCCAGCCAAGAGGATGGCAAATCCCCCACCACCACCCTCCGTGTCCAGGAGGCCATTCTGAAGGAGCTGGGCAGCGAAGAGGTTCGGAAAGTCAACTGCTACGGGCAAGAGGTGGAGCCCATGGAGGCGACGGAATCGAAGGACTTGGGCTCTCAGACCCCTCAGGCTCTGACCTTTAATGATGGTATCAGCGAGGTGAAGGACGAGCAGACCCCAGGCTGGACCACGGCCGCTGGGGACATGAAGTTTGAGTACCTGCTCTACGGCCACAGGGAGCACATCGTGTGCCAGGCTTGTGGCAAGACCTTCTCCGACGAGGCGCGGCTGAGGAAGCACGAGAAGCTCCACACGGCCGACAGGCCCTTCGTGTGTGAGATGTGCACCAAGGGCTTCACCACCCAGGCCCACCTGAAGGAGCACCTGAAGATCCACACGGGTTACAAGCCCTACAGCTGCGAGGTGTGCGGCAAGTCCTTCATCCGCGCCCCCGACCTGAAGAAGCACGAAAGGGTCCACAGCAACGAGAGGCCCTTCGCCTGCCACATGTGTGATAAAGCTTTCAAGCACAAGTCCCACCTCAAAGACCACGAGAGGAGGCACCGAGGAGAGAAGCCTTTTGTCTGCAGCTCCTGCACGAAGGCCTTCGCCAAAGCCTCGGATCTGAAGAGGCACGAGAACAACATGCACAGCGAGAGGAAACAGGTCACGGCGGCCAACTCCATCCAGAGTGAGACAGAGCAGCTACAGGCAGCAGCTATGGCTGCTGAGGCAGAGCAGCAGCTGGAAACTATAGCCTGTAGTTAAAAGGAAGAACTTTTCTCCACAGAGAAGCCGTTCAGCTGGACAAAACCTGTCCTTGGGATCCGTTTCGACCAGGGACTATCTTTTTCTGAGAAAAACCTATTTTTTAGAGGGTTTGAATGCTGCCTAGGAACACAGAGCATTCGTAGAATGTGAAATGGTTTCATTGTCATTAGTATGATGCACTAATGCTGGGTTTAATTGGAGAGTGTGCTGGAGTTCTCTGTAAAACAGGGAGGGGGGTTTGCTTTGGCCGGGGTGGAACCTCGACAGCAGGGTGAGTGAGTCACGTTTGAAAACACCCAGTTCTCCCAAAATAACCAACACTCACAGGAGCTGCCTGCTTTCCATCCTGAAGGCCTCACGCCTGCCAGTTTGGAGAAAGAGATGTTGATTCCTAAACCTTTTCAGTTCCTTTTTCACCTCGTGGAGGTGCTAGAGGTTGGTACAACAGAGTGTAAGGGGAAGGTGGGGAACAAAGTGAAGTTGCCTCTTTTTCCATTCCCTCAGATATCCTCTCATTTTAATCAAGTTTGACAATATTTTAGAAGTTTAAAAGGAGGATCAGCTGCACTGGTGAGTGACTGGGTGTCACAGGTTTGGGACAACTCTGTGGCCAGCTCTCTGCAGGACAACTCCACGTGTCTCAGCAGGTTCTGCTGGTCCTTCCCACTGCAGGGTGAGCTCCACTTGAGCCTCAGTGGGGGCTCTGCGTGGCGTGGTGGGGTCCCCTGGCAGCTGGTGATCTCCTGTGGGAGGTGGATCAGCAGCCATCTCACAAGTAGCACCAGCAGTATGATTTTTGAGGTGGAAAAATGTGTATTTAAGGGAGTTAAAGTGTTAAGAAATGATGAGTCACATGATTTCTAACACATGCTGGCCAATTAATCGTGCACCTTCCTTGTGCTGGGCCACCAGAGGTGCCCACCTTGCCCTGCAGCTGTTTTCTAGTGGAATAATACTTAAATGGAGATAAAAGGCAACAAAGTCAAATGTAAAATAAGAAAAAAAATTCACAATGAGAAAAATAAACCAAGGCATGGCAGGAATGAGGTTGCCAGCAGTGCCCCCTCCACCTCCCCTGAGAGACCAGCACAGAATTGGCCATGTAGAGTTGTCCAGTGGAGGGCTGACCACAAAATTTAGCTGTGAAGGGTTGGGGAGTTGTCCCATTCCACGGTGTCCCTGGCAGAGTTCTGGAGCTGCAGAGCACAGCCTGGGTCTGCTCTGATGGCTTCTCACACCAGCTGGGGGGGGTCCTGTTTGAGTTTAAATCCTCCTGGCACAACACCTCTGGGAGAGGGGGACACCCAAGTGAGGGGCTTCAGTCATGGGTGACCCAGAATCAGTGTTCACAAATCATCTGTTCCTTAGGGGGTATTTTTTGCTGATAAGTTGGGGTAGGTGCTGCTCGTTGAGCTCTCAACTCACAGAGGCAACAAAGCAGCCTTTGGATTGCAGGCTGTGACCTGTAGCCAAGAGGAGAAGACAGAAGAATGGTGGGAGTGTGATCCAAAGGGATATCAAGCCTTCATTTTAAATTTGTAAATACTACAACAGTTGTCAAAGCTTCATTGGAAGTTGGAATGGGCAAAAAAAAAAAACCCAACCCCACACCCCTGGGTGGGCAACGTTGGGCCCTGGTGATTCCCAGAGCCTCTGGAAGAGCTGGGCCAGTCTCTGGTGGGTTCCTGTGGGGTAGATCCCATCCTGGCTTTTCTCAACAAGACGTGGAAAATGGTGGGGTTTTTTTTGGACCTGTTCTATGGAACTTTGATATTTCTCCTTTGGGATGGGTTTGGTTTTTTTTTTACAGCTTCATTTTATTCGTGTACTCATCAGGTGGAGCAGTTATCTTCAGATGCCAATAATTGTTTGAAAAGCTGGCCTGTAAATAAAACATGAACTTGATATTTTAGAAAATGGAAACTTTGGACCTTGACCAATATATTTTTTTAAAAACGTTGCTTCATTTTACATTCAGTAAATATTAGTTTGTAAACAAACTATACATTTTGTACCTGTGCAGCATCAGAGGATGTGTATTCATTGCATTTTATTGGTTCTCTTGAGGAACATGATAAATGACCATTGTTAAAATGTTTTACTGTATATGATCATAGATATAAAGATGGTAGATCCAAAAAATGGGATCTACCTTTTTTTTTTTTTCTAAATCTATTAGTCTGGCTCTGTTTTCTTATCTCCAACTGTGTTCACTTGCTCTTAGATGGTAAAGTTGGTGTTGATAAGATGTGTTGTGATAAGGGTGGAAGAGGAAGGCAGGAAATGTTCTCCAGGCTGCTGTGAAGAGTGCAAGAAGTAATGAGCCTAAAGGTCAGCAAGGAAAATTGACTTCAGACCTCAGAAAAAAAAACCTCTGAAAGGGCTGAATATTGAACGATGAGAAGAGAGTGACAAGAAGTAATGAGCCTAAAGGTCAGCAGGGAAAATTGACCTCAGACCTCAGACAAAAAAACCTCTGAAAGGGCTGGATATTGAACAATGAGAAGAGAGTGCCTGGGTGGCCCCTCAGCCTCTGCTGGTGAGGATGCTGGAGACCAGCTTAGAGAAACAACTGCTGGGGATGCTTTAAATATAGTGAATTCTGCCTTGGAGCTGGCTGTGGATTTGAGATTGGTAGTGAATTCTGCCTTGGAGCTGGCTGTGGATTTGGGATTGTTCTGGAAATCTGAAATTGGCCATGGATTTGGGATTGTTCTGGAAATCTGAAATTGGCCATGGATTTGGGATTGTTCTGGAAATTTGAAATTCCCCATAGATTTGGGATTGTTCTGCAATTGAGATTGTCTCAAGCAGGCTTGAGGCTGCAGCTCTCAAGGGCTGCCTGATGTTTGCTGCTTTTTAAAACTGGACAGTTGGATATTACAGGTACTCTAACACAAAAAGTGTTCTGCAGGAACCAATCCCAGAACTTGGAGCTGGCTGTGGATTTGGGATTGTTCTGGAAATCTGAAATTGGCCATGGATTTGGGATTGTTCTGGAAATCTGAAATTGGCCATGGATTTGGGATTGTTCTGGAAATTTGAAATTCCCCATAGATTTGGGATTGTTCTGCAATTGAGATTGTCTCAAGCAGGCTTGAGGCTGCAGCTCCAAGGGCTGCCTGATGTTTGTTGCTTTTTAAAACTGGGCAGTTTGGTATTACAGGTACTCTAATACAGAAGTGTTCTGCAGACACCAATCCCAGAGCCCCAGCACAGTGGAGCTGGAAGGGACCTCTGGAGATCATCTCATCCCACCCCCCTGCTCCAGCAGCTCACCCACAGCAGGGTGCCCAGGGTCACAGCCAGGAGGGTTTGGGATCTCTCCAGAGCAGGAGACTCCACAGCCTCTCTGGGCAGCTGCTCCAGGCTCTGCACCCTCACCCCAAAGAAGTTTCTCCTCCTGCTCAGGTGGCACCTCCTGGGTTCCAGTTGGTGCCTGTTGCCCTTTGTCCTGAGGCACCACTGACAGAGTCTGGCCCCCAAATGTCCTTCTTGCAACTTCCTTGGGCAGGCATAAAAAAAAACCTTAAATGAGACTTGATCTTAACAGTCTGTCCTAGAAACAAGTCCAGTGGAACCTCTCCAGTGTCAAAGGTTGTGAGAGGGGCCTCAGCCTCTTGCCTGGTTTTAGCTGTGTCAGAGCCAGTTGCTTTGTGTTCCTGAGACCAACGTTGGTCAGGAAGGCAAAGGCTCAGTTATTTTTGTGAAGCTGAGCATCTTGTTGGCATTTTCTATACTGTTGCCTGGTTTAAGGAGGTGAACTTGCCTTATTTTACTCTTGTTTTGAAAGCCAATAGATAATTTTTGCTTCCTTTCCCAACTGTTTGTATTGAAGGCAGGGAGAAGACCAAGAACACTCCGAGAAGAGTTCAGAAGGGGAACGTGGAGGTGACCTTAGCTTGTGTACCTTCTGAAGGGATGGTTCCTCACACGTTATGAGGGTCTGTTGGTCAAGTTCAGGTAAATCTGTGTCTTAAGACACTAGAGCAGCCAACTTCTGCCCTGCCTGTGCCAGAGCACATCATGTACCCAAGCAGATACACGTTGGCTCCAAGCCCCAGAGGATTTCCAGTGTGGATAAAGAGTAAGTTATGAGCTGTGTTCATCCAAAAACAGGCACTTTTTGGTTTTGTTTTTTTTTTTTTTCAAGGATGACAATTTCTTTCAGAGCTTAGAGAATCAGAATTGTTTGGGTTGGAAAAGACCTTTGAGATCATCGAGTCCAACTTAAGCCAGCACTGCCAAGTCCACCACTAACCCAGGTCCCTCAGCACCACATCTCCACAGCTTTTAAATCCCTCCAGGGATGGGGACTCCACTATTATGAGGCAGTGGGTGAGATTCTGTCCAATTCACAGGAATTTTGCTGTTGACTTTATTGGGGCCAGACTAATATTCCTCATAAAGTTTCCAACTGCAGGCAAATTAGCTAATTGGTGTGTGAGCAGGACTGACAGAGTGCTGTGGAGACAGAGGTGGCTGAAGTAACATTAGATAAATGGTTTAATTCTTTCTCTCAGAACTTAGTAGCAAAAATATGTATGGAATGAGTCCTAAACATACACTTCTCTATCTGTGGGCTGTGAAATTGAGGTCAGTTATCTCTTTTATATACACAGGACAGCAAAAGTCTGTTACTTTTTTGGCTTACAGCGAATGTCCATCCGTGTCAGGATGTTCCAGGACCAAGAGGCTTCAGTGGAACTCTCCATGTGTTGGATACGAGTAGGTTAAAGGGCTTTAAAAGATGAAATGAGAGTGAAAAGAAAAGCTTGAAATCAGAACTTTGCTATTCTGTGTGTTTGTAAAACACAGAGCAGGACTTTGAGCTCAGGTACCCAAATTAATTTCTGATCCAGAGTGTGTTGGGCTGTGGAATGCTGCTGGTTGTTTGGCACAGCTCAGTTTGGAAACTCTGAAAGCTGAGGAGATGCCTTGCAGCCCTTCTCCAGCCCCACCCCTCCTCTACACACCCTGCTTATCAACAGCTCAGC